GGTGGTTTTGAACTGCTGACCTTGGGGTTAGCAACCCAACATGTAACATCACCGGGGCTTGGAAACCCTTGAGGGAGGCGGTTCCACTCTGTTCTATCAGGCCACTATGAGTCTGAATCAACTAAATAGCAGTGGGCTTGGGTTTGACCTTGTACTTGAGCCCTCTGTGCTTGTGGAAATGGTTGGCAACTCCCCGAAAGATTGAAGCCCACTCAGAGGCTTCCTGCAAGAAAGGCCTGGCCATCAACTTTGGACAAATCAAACCTTGGAAATCCTATGGACCACAGTTCTACTTTTGACACATCTGGGGTTGCCATGAATCAGAAAGAACTCAATGGCAGCTCTGGGTTTTTAAACTTTTGTATTCTGTGTCATCTCAGTGCTAATGGGGGGTGGTGAACAAGGCAATACAGAAAGCTATACATGAGTGAACAACATTCTCTAACCTAATTCAGTTCATTCAAGTGCTAGGAAGAAAAGTAACCATGGTGTGGTGATAATAAGTGACTTGGGTCTACTTTCAACTGGGTGACCAGTGAAGGCTTCTGTTATCATTGAAAGAACCAGCCATGGGAGGAGCTAGAGAGCCTTGGAAGCAAAAGGAAGAGCAGGTGCAAAGGCCCCGAGGAAGGCACTTGCTTGGTGTCTTAGTAGTCATTCCATCCCATGGCCAGGGACCTGATTTTGACTCCTTGTGACCCTACAGGACAGAGTTTGAAACTCTGCAGACTTTCTGAGGCTGTACATCTTCTTATGGCAGAAGATGGTCTCATCTTTCTCCTGCAGAGTGGCTGGTGGGTTCAAACCACCAACCTTTCTTTTACCAGTCCCACTTTAGCCCACTGCGTCATGTTCTGTTTGGGAGGGTTACAGGGCTCCCTCCAAGTGGAAACAGGACTGTGATTTCACACAAAGAAATTGCTCCATGCTGGCCTTTGGGTTTTCATGTATCTAGAGTTAGGCCGCTAAACTCAAGGACATCAGGCCCAAACTACTAGCTGCTGGTCGGGCCAGAGGAAGACAAGGCTTTCTCCTCCTGCCAAGAGTTACCGTCTCAGAAACCCAAAGGGCAGTTCTACCCTGTCCTGCAGGATTGCTAAGAGTTGGCCTCAGCTCAATGACTGTGAGTGGGTAAGTTAGATGAGTAAGCTCCTTTTGCCTTTAGAAGTTTGGAATCATCCAGAAATTTTGTCCTAGACCTGGAAATACAACACCAAAAGCATTTGGCTGTTTTGGGGCTGGTAGATTTGTGAGGAGATGCATGCATTTGTAGGCCACACTTCACTGCTTGCTCATACAAATGCTCTGAAACCTGAGTCACAGGGGGCAAGTGTATCCCCAGTGATAGCGTTTTACACAGCTAAGCAAATTCATCCTGATCCACAGTCCTGGGAGTGTGAAGAATAAGTCAGGGATCATTATGGAAAACAGATTTGCTGTCCAGCCTCAGGGTCAAGCAAGGGCCTGAGGGGGCCCATTCTGCATTTCTATATAGTCCTTTTCTCAGGGAAGTAGATGGAGTTGCTGCCATGGGCCGTGTTGGCAATTCAGCGTGCTGGCCTAGCGCGCATGAGAAGCAGGCCCTCCCAGCATGTTTTATAAGGTGATTTCAACTGTTTGGTCCCTCAGGCCTTTGTGATTGGTGAATATCAGAAATCGCCTGCTTGTCTGACCTTGGCAAGCATGGGGAGAATTTCCCTGGCCAGTGAAAGATGATTTCTGGACTCAAGGGCTGATGTTTTTGAATGTCCCTGAAACATAACTTGGATAACTTCTGCTACCACGGGGCCTGCCCCCAGCCTCAGCTCCCGCCAAGATTGGCCAGGAAGAAGTATTTCCCACTGTGGGCCTCTTGCAGCTACATGGGCCCAGCTCAAAGTCCCCCTTGTGCAATGTCTCACTTGCCTGTGGCTCAAGGAAGTGGGACAAACAGCTACATTTTTGTCGGATGTCCCTTGCCTCAGCTGTTCAAATAGCCAAGCTAAACAGTCCGGGCGTGTCTGTGGGCGTGTGGGAATGAGGGGCGATGGTGGGAGGTGTCAGTAGCTCTGGCAAGAAGCTCGAGAGTTTTCTTTCTTCCTTTTAAAAAGATTGAATGAGTTCATGCAGGCTTTTTGAAAATGTCAAGGGCAACCCAGATTTACATTGGCAGACTCAAACAACAAACATATGAACTCACTGCCATCGAGTTGCTGCTGACTCATCGTGACCTGAAAGGACAGTGTACAACTGCCCTCGGGTGTTTCCAGGATTGTGACTGAGTAGGAGTGTAGACAGCCTCATCTTTCTCCCCCAGCACTGCTGCTGGCTTCGAACGGCTGACTTTGAGGTTGGCAGCCTAACTCATCACTCACTTCTCCACCAGGGCTCCTTACAATGGTACTCCTAAAGCCAAAGCCAAATCCACCACCACTGAGTGGATTGTTCACAGTGACTCAGTATAGGGCAGTGGTTCTCAACCTGTGGGTCGCGACCCCTTTGGGGGCTGAACGCCCTTTCACAGGGGTCACCCGATTCATAACAGTAGCAAAATGACAGTTATGAAGTAGCAACAAAAATAATTTTTATGTTTGGGGGAATCACCACAACATGAGGACCTGTATTAAAGGGTCACGGCATTAGGAAGGTTGAGCAGCACTGGGATAGGGTTTCCCAGGCTAGAAATCTTGAGGAGAGCAGAGGACTGCAACTTTCCCCCAGGAGTAGCTGATGGGTTTGAACCACAGACCCAGCCTTCAATTAGCAGTCCTTCCTTGCCCGACAGCGCCATGGGGGCTCCGGCAGTATCATATTAGGCCGTCACATTTCAAACGCCCCTTCCGAGCCAAGAGCGTCAGAGATCTTGTCTAATGCCCTTGCACATTTTCCATGTTGGAAAAAGGTGCTGTCACAGAGCATGCCTAAGGCTGTTCAACAAACACACGAGAGAGACCTGGGTGCCAAAGCAGAACTTGTGCCTCCCTTATGGTGTCCCACGCCTGTCTGGGTGACATCAGTTGCCAGGCTGCCCCAGCCACGATCTGACACACACCAAGAAAATCCTAAACCACACAGGATCGCACATTCTATGGACCGAAACCAATGCAGACGGGTTGGGCTCATTTGGGGTGGGAGGGACCTGGAGGAGCTCCCAGACACAGCACTTTCTAGTCATCAGGTCCCACTGCAGCCCCACCTGGGACAACCACAGCCCCACCCGGGGACACCTGCCTCCCTACCTGTTACAGAGGGAGCAGCCGCTGGGATAGGACACACCTAGTGAGGCATCCCTTGTACTTTCTCCAGGTTGCCCTTGTTCAATGTGACAGGGCTAACCAGACACCACCAGATCTGAACCCCTCAACTATAGAGGACCGACTGGTGAAATTGGGGTCTCAGACTTTCAGAAGTTTTGGGGCCTGTGGTGGAGGGAGGAAGGGAGGGCAGAAGTGACTGCTTGGCTTTGACCTTATCAGCACAAAAACTCCAGAAACCAAACTCACTGCCATCAAGTCAAAGTCCACTCCTAGCAACCCTGTAGGGTGGAACTAACTGCCCCTGTGAATTTCCAAGACTGTAACTCTTTGCAGGATTATCTGCTGAGGTGGCTGGTGGCTTCAAACTGCTGACCTTGTGGCTAGAGGCCCAATGTGTAAGCACTACTCCACCAAGGCTTCTCCTCATAGAGCCTCTATTAATCTGTGAAGGTTAACCTGCAGTCCTCTGCAAGGCCAGCAGTTTGAAACCACCAGCTGCTCCAAGGGAAGGAGAATGATGGGACATTCTACTCCCTTAAGGAGAGAACTCCCACATAAGTAGTTCTACCTATTCTATAGGGTCACCAAGGAGGCATCAGCCTGATGGCAGTGATTTTTTTTTTTAATTGGTAGAGCCCTCAAAACTACAAGAGGATCTCATCACAACTGAGCTCTACAGGTCTGGAAAGACCATGGAATTAGAGATATGAACAAGTTCTGTCCCCAGCTGGTCGACGCTCTTTATAAATGCTGGACAACAGGCTCAGTTCTGCTTCTAGCTCTGGGCTCCAGGGTCAGCTGCCTGCATGCCCACCAGGCCAGGGCAGCCAGGACAGCGTTCTATTGCAGCATTCCTCTGAGTTTGCCTCGTGACACCTTCTAAAGCTTGTGATTTGCTTGATGGTTCATAAAGGTTTGGTGTGATGGTGGACCTTCCACACGCCAGATGCTTCGGTGACGGGGAAGCAGAAGGACAGGTGGCCAGCAGCCAGGCAGCTTGACTCCAGACCATCAGCTGATAGGGTGGAAGTGAAGCAGGAGCTATTCTGGGCTGGACTCAGGGTCTGGGCAGCACTTTGGGACTCGTCCGGTCTGAAATGCGCATCTGTCCTGCGCAGGGTTCCTTTAAGGTTTCACGATTCCACAGTGGACAGGCGAGTTTCCTGCCCTCCTAGGTCTCATGGTCCAGGAGTGGGGAGGCCATCACTGTTGGAAAGTGTGTTATTTATAGTGGACTGCCAGGTTTAGAAAAAGGGAAGAGGCAGGCACCGGTGAGTGAGGTGAGGATAAGGTAGGATGGTGGGGGTAGCCTTTTTGAGTAGTTTTACTTCTGAACTAGCTTCCTGCGACTTTGGCCCATCATTTTCTTCACTCTGTTGTTTCTACATTCAACAGAGAAGGGACTTGGACCCCCTCCCCCCTCGCCCTACTTTCTTCGCGCTGCCCTCCGGCTTACACTCCGTTCTATTCCCCAAGCTGGACAGGCCGGCACTGGCTCCTCATTGCTTCCCAAGGACCAACCAGCTCAGGTGTCACGGGACCTCCTTTCCACCTGCAAGGTTCCCTTTCCGCGGAGCCAGAGCCCGGGCTGCTCCCTCCAGGGCGGGGCTCACCTGGCCCGGACCGGCCCCATCCCGCGCGCCCAGGTGGATCGGGGCGGGGAGAAGCCGCGCCGCCCCGCCCCGCGTGGCCACGGCCAACGCCGGTCCCCGGCGGGCACGCTCGGACCCGGAGCCTGGAGCCAGGAGCCAGGCGCGGGCGCCGAGAGCTCTGCGCACCGGAGAGGTGCAGGTGAGCGGGGCCCCAGGGCGCGCAGGCTGGGGGTCGGGCCGGGCCGGGCCAGCGGCCCCGGTGCCCAGGCCCTGCGGGGCCGCGCAGGCTGCTGCTGGCTGGGCCAGGCGCGGGGCCGCGCGGCGGCGGGGCCAGTAGCTGCGGGCATCCTGCGGCCGGGGCAGCAGGCTGGAGGGAGCGCTGGCAGGGCCCGGGCTGCCCGGGTCCCTCCGCCACGCGCCTGGGGGAGTGACCTCGGCTGGTGCGGGGGGTGGAGGAAGAGGTGCGGGGCGGAACTACTGGGGAGAGCCAGAAGGTGGGGCCGAGGGTCCAGACGCACGAAAGCCCCCAGAGCCCGTTCCCTCCTAACCAGCGGCGGCGCCTCACTCGGGGCCAGCGCCAGTGTGCGCTGCTCCCCCTGCCCGCTGCTGTACTCTCGGTGCGGAATCACGGACAGACATACTGGCTAGTTACTTGGGGGCATCCCCAAAGCCGGGTCCCCGAGACTGCTCTTACTCCTTGGGACCTCGGGAGGCTGTAGACAGGTGTGTGGGGGTGTGGCATTGTGGGGGGTAAGGTGGAGGGGGGCTGCCCCCCTCCAGGACCTGGTCGTCAGAGATGAGGTGGGAAAAGTCTCTCCAGGTGCTGAACTCCAGCCCGTCCCGCTGCAAGCTGCCTGGCTGTGAGCGAGTTACTTCTTGGAGCCAGAGCCCTCAAAAGGTATTGGATGTCGTCATTACAACAGCCGCCGCACGTTCGGTTCTTTGGTGCGCATAACGCGCATAATGCTGTTGGATAAAGGTTCTTTCCATGTTTTCTGGTTAGGTTGCAGCTTTATGCTTAAAGTCCCCATGCATTTCAGAACCGAAGGGTGGCCCAGGCGGCCCAGGCTACCCTCCTTTAGAAACCGGTTGTCATCTAGTGGGGACCTTGATGGCACAGTGGCTCAGGTGCTAACCCAATAGACAGGGGTTCTCCACAGGGAAGCATGTGGCCCCCTGGAATGTATGCCCCTCATCTCCACCCTCACCCCCCATTACAATCCCCCTCCACCACCACCAATGGTTCTTCTCTGCCCTATAGTGCCCTTGTGTGTTGTAATCCATCAGAGCGATGACCCCAGGCTTGCTGGATTGGGAACTGTGCTCCCCACGGTTTTCAGTGGCTGGTTTTGCTGAAGTAGATTGTCAGACATTCCTTCCTAGGCCTCTCCAGGTGGACTAGACCCTCTAACCTTTTGGTTATCCACCAAGCACATCAGCCTTCTGTACCACCCAGGGACTCTTAGCTTCCTTGAGCAGAGAAAACTTGATGGTGATGGTGCAGTATGTGTGCTCGTGAACATGTGTGTGTGCGTGCATGTGTGTGCATTGCCCCTCTGACTTGGTCATGGCCAAGACTTCTCCAGGGTGACGTGGTGACACGATTCCAGAGGCCAGGATTGAGAAGTGTCAGTGGATAGGGCCTCAGGTACAGGGCATCATCAGTCTGCTCCCACCTGTCTTGTCGGCATTTTCCAGGATTCTTTTCTGTGGCTTTGCTTTGGTCCCTTGAAAACTGCCTTCTCTAGTGTGGAAATTGATGGGGCCACATAAATGAAAAGGTGGAGGGTTGTTAGCTTCAGGCATACATAGATCCAGGAGCTCACATGAGGTCTCCAGGGCTCATTCTCGCTCATATATGTCTTGACTCTTTTTCTCTGTGTGGACAGGTTCTTAGCATGGAGGGATAAATAGCCTAGGCAGGTGCTATATTGGGCTTATGTGGAGGGAAAGACTGAGAGCCTTCCTCCTTTGCTGTATATACTCGAGTATAAGCTGACCCGAATATTAGCCGAGGCACCTAATTTTACCACAAAAATTGTATTAAAACTCGGCTCATACACGAGTATATATGGTATGTCCTCCATCTTTATGGGAAGTTTTATCAATGATACTACGCCATGCAAGGCCAGGCTATCTCAGGGAGCTGGTTCCCACGGTAGTCATGGGTACACTGCCTTGGTGCTGCCAGTCCCTGATGAAGTAGGGCAGCCTCTGTGATTGACATTCCTACCCAAGTTGTAAGGGTCTGAGGAGGAGCAGTTCCCAATGAAGTGTCTAGAGTGCTGGACAGACAAAAATAGGACATGTCCCTGGCACTGCCTTTGCCATTGCCCACCCACACCTAAAGGAAGCCTCTCGTAGAAAGTAGAAAGCCTGGGTGCCATTATCAGTTGGTCAGTCATCAAGTATTTATCCAAGGCATGGGAGGCATCCTGGGCGTGTCACCCTTTCATCCATTGTTTGGCTGTTTGCGCATTCACTCAACTTTTAATGAATGCCCAACATCTGCCAGGGCCTCTGCCAAGGGCTAAAGTGCTCACTTTTGAAAAGCTCACAGTCTCGTTGGAGAGGCCGGTGTGCAGAGAACAAGAGTGCCCGGGAGAGTGCTCAGCTGTCTGCAGAGAGACTGAAGACAGCCCAGCGGAGCCTGCAGTTGAGCTTCAGCTTGGAGCTTACTAGGGCTGCTCTAGGAGGAGAAGGTGGAGGGAGCTTTCCAGGCCATGTGGCAGGGCATCCGTTAGGGTACTTTTCTGCCGCAGGTCACATTATTTAGACTCCTTGACTTTCGACGGGTTGGAGTGGGAGGGTTCAATGAGATTATGGCCTTATTTTGATTTACTAAAGCGCCTTTCCTGCTTTCCCCGCTCCCCACGGGGTAACTGGAACTCCACCAGGCCTTCACCCAACAGTATCTAGAGCAGGAGGGGAGGGAGAGGGCTTGCTTTTATGTCTTTCTTCAGATATGGACGGAGAAACCTTCCCAGAAGCCACCTGTGCTGTCAACCTAGTGCATTGGCCGGAATGGTCACCTGCTCTCCCCTAAGCCACTCCTGAAGCTGTGGGAGGCCTTGTGAGCCTTCCATGTATTGATCTTAAAAAGAAAAAGAAAAAAATCTCAGCTCTGTCTTAAAGAAAGCCAGGCTGACTGTGAGCTTGTTGGGTAGGTAACCAACCTTGTCTCCCACGGGTGGTGACAGGTGATGACAGGCAGGGACTGCACCTACGGGAAATCCGGGGAAGTTCAGTATAATAGAAGTACAGGGTGTGGCTGCAGGGAGGGAGAGGGGAGCAGCGGCTGACAGAGAAGCAGAGCCGGGGTTCCTCTATGACCAAAGCCACCTCCGGCATCTTAACATTGCCGAGAAATGTCAGTCTTGGTCCCATTCCTCAAAAAAAAATGTAATACTCAAAGCCTAGACCACTCCACCCCACCCTTTTTTCTTCCTGTTCCAACACCCTTGGGGGATCTGAGTTACCCTCATTCATCACAGTAACCCTGGGGCCAGGGGTGGGTAGTTTGAAAAAGCCTCACTGATGGCGCTTCTGGTCTGCCAGGGCTCATCCTTACCCTCAGGTTCCCCCTGTCACTTCCCCCTCCCTTCTCTTGAGCATACTTGCTCTTCATCATGGCTCTGTTTCCGTGTTGTTAACCCATCTCCAGAGTAGAGGGCTGGGGCCTGCTGGTACAGATCCCTTTTGTGGTGGAAGTTGGGCTAGAAAATGATTTTCCGGAAAGGAAGTGTTGGGAGGGACAGCTCGGGTCAGTGCTGGGCATCCAGCTGCCTCCAGCTGCTGGGTTTAATTTGTGTAGCCCGTTTTCATTTGAAGTTTGGCTTTCATTTAAGTGTGATGTGGTGCACATTCTGTTAGAACAGCTGAAGACCCCAGGGGTGATGGAGAAGGGGGAGGAGGGCCCCTTGGCTTAGGGGACCCTGCATTGCTGTGAGTGGTGGTAGAGTGATTGGGAAATAGCTAATGGTGGTGGTTACACAACCGTGAACATGACCAATGGCATTGCACCGTATGTGTAAACAATGTTGAGCTGGCAAGTGTGTTAGGCTGGGCTGTCTAGAGAAACAAAACCCGTGATTTTATGTATGTATCTATATGAAAGACCTTTAGAGCAAGAACTAATTTTATATCAATCAAGAAGGCATCTCAGCCCAGTCCAATTCAAGTCCATGGTCCGAGGTTAGCTGGAGCGCTCCTCAGACTTACAGAGCTCCAGGCAGATGATGCAGAGAGGTAAAGTGGGCAGCAGGGTGGTCACAGGCTGGTGGGTACAGAGCCCAGTGGATCCAAGGTCGTGGGAACATGGCAGGCTGCCAACAGCTCCCAGCATCAGTGGCCTGCATGGGGCCACCCCTGGCAGCAGACACAAACCCCAACAAGGATGGTTCCAGGGTCCCAGTTATCAAAAGGCCACACTTCCAAGAAGGCATCTTCAATCATCTGACTGAAAGAAAGGTTGGATTCCACCCTTCCACTTCACCCATGGTCAAGTTGACATAAAATCTAACTGCCACAACATGTGTTTTGTGCCATATATATGTATAAGTGATTATATACATAATTATTATTTTTATCGTAATAAGATAATACAATAAAAGGAGAGAGGTATAAGACACTGATAGTGGAAGAAAGGGGGAAGCCTGTTTTGCTATTACTGTTAGCAGTACTGCCACAGGCTGGCCAGGATCATTGGTCGAGAGTGATGCCGTGGGGCTTGATTCATTCCATAAGTTTTTACTGGGCTCCTACTGTGTGCCAGAGACACTGCTATGGATGCTGGGATACAAGAGAGACAAAGTCCCTCCTCTCCTGGAGCGTCCACACGACGGGGAGTGGGCCTTGGCTTGTTTATGCTTAAAGTGTTAATATGTCAGGTGGTGAGACATGCGATAAAGAAAAACCAAGTAGGTTAAGCAAAGAATGTAACAATTGGAAATATGATAGGCATAATGCTAGAAATCTTCCAGAGAAATATAGTCTGGGCTGATCCCAAACCAAAAACCAAATTCACTGCCATTGAGTCAATTCTGACGCATCTCAACTATATAGGGCGGCGCACAATGGTCCCTGTGAGTTTCCAAGACGACAACTCTTTACAAGTACTGTCTCATCTTTCTCCTGTGGAACTGGGTGGTGGTTTCAAACTGCTGACCTTGGTTCACAGCGCAACACATAACTATTACC